GATGCCAGAAGTTTATTGAAAACTCCACGACATCGTATAGTACCTCGAACCGTAAATCCCGGGGAGTATATTCATATTGGAATTAAGCCTAATATTTTGAATATGCTTTTAAAAACTGCAGATACAAATATACCATCAACAATCTTGTTTGACTTCAGTACTGATGGAGCTAATATATACAAAAATGTTCAGTACGATATTTATCCTATATAATTTAGAATTTCTAATATTCCCGATAGAAGTCCTATGATTGCGGGATTATACGCAGGAAAAAAGAAACCTGCTGATTTTGCAGATTTTTTTAAAGATTTCAATGAAGAATTATTAGATATTATTAGGCAAGGAATATGTTATAAAAACAAAAAAATCAAGATAAAAATAAGGTGTTTCATAGCTGACACACCCGCAAGGGCTGATTACTTAAATATTGTTGGACATACGGGTTTCAACAGTTGTAATAAATGCAAAATATCTTGCGAAAGACACAAAACTGATTCATCAGTCATTTTCAAAGGAGAAAATTATCCAGCAAGAAGTGACAACGATTTTCGACAACTTAAAAATCCCGAGCACCATCGCGGTAAATCTGCATTGGATAGTTTACCCTTAGGACCAGTAAGTCAAACACCCCACGATTACATGCACTTGGTGTGTTTGGGAGTTGTAAAGAAGATATTTGAAGCATTAATAGAACAGAAATTTTAGCCTAAAAAATTATCGCCCCATGTAATATCACGAATTTCAGGTCGTCTGATCATTCTTGCTGAGCACTGTCCAAAAGAGTTTTCTCGCAAGCCAAGAAGTTTAGATTATTTACATCGTTTTAAGGCAATAGAATATCGGCAATTTTTACTCTATACAGGACCAACTATTATGCTTGATTTATTTGGAGAGGATAAGCGAATGAAGCATTTTTTGAAATTGCACTACGCTATACGAATTTTGGTTGGTTTTAATGAGAGATCGATGAGTGAAATTGATATGGCCGAAGATATATTACGAAAGTTTGTATTCGAAAGCGCTGATATATACGGCAGAAAGTTTTTATCATATAATACGCATGGTCTTCTGCATTTGGCAAACGATGCTCGTAATTTTGGACCTCTAAATCATTTTTCATGTTTTCCATTTGAAAATAATATGACTTTTTTCCGGAAAATGGTACGAAAACCTTCTCAAGAATTGCAACAAATATATAAAAGGTTTGAAGAAAAGAAATGTAGACACTCACAACTATGATTGCAAATTTTTTCTACAAAAGTCGCACATGTATTTAACGCAAAAAGGAATGACCCTCTCGTACAGTCATCCGATCACAGAGTTACCAAACAATTTTCGAGTGTTAAATTTCGAGGATTTACGTATGATTTAAATAAACGTAACAATTGTTGCATTTCAATTGATGGTAATGTGTACATATTGAGAAATATATTTTATGTAAACGACACAAATAATTACCATTTAAAAGTACAGAAATTTCAGGAAGTGGATTCTTTATATAACGTTGATGATTTAGACTCTCGAAGAATTGGAGTTTTCAAGTGTTCAAAATTATCCGAAGATTCCATAGTAATTCCACTCGAAGAAATAAAGTGTAAAGCTTTTAAAATGTCTTTTGGCGTAACAGTGAAAGATTTTTTGAAGAAGGAGTTTATGTGATAGCACAATTATTCGAGGAACAGTGGTTATTAAATTAGTACGAGATAAATTCCATTAAATTGAATTGTTGTAAAATTGTGTATTTAATTACTTTATTAGTTTTTAAGTCAAGGGGTTGATAAACAAAAATATTAATAATAATTGAATGTTTTTATACGTCGAATAATTAATTTAATGTCATATATATTGACAATTAAGTTAAATGTATTTATTAAAAATAGTAGAGTTTTTTATTAAACATATTGTATTTGTAAATGATATAATAGAAGATATTTTAATATATACGTATAACACATTTCTTTAAGGCCACACTACAAAAATTTATTAGTTGATATCTATTTATATACCTTGTTCTACCAAAGAATTGTCCTTATTGTTTCTTCGCATTTGTTTCGCATTTGATAGTTCACCATCAATGGCAGCATTTCTTTTCTTACTTATGCCTATTTCTTCTATAACATCATTGTTGAAAGATAATGTACCTTCATGAATAACGTCAGTAGGCTTCACTAACAAAGCGCTACATTGTTGTTGTCGTTCTTGAATGTCGTTGAAATATTCATAATCTATATCACTACATGTTGCTAATGAATAATTATTGTTCTTCAGAAGATTAATGTTGTCCACTTGAGAGGTACATGTGTTTTCAATATTTTCGTTATTCATTATTTCGATTACGTACACGAACTTCTCAACGAAATAAAATCAATAGAACTGTCTGAACTGTTGACTTGTCTCGAAGTGTTTCAACTGATTTTCACTCGCGCGAGACTGACACGTGACGCTACTGGAGTACCATGTGCCACGAGGCGAGAATCGGAAACAGAACAAAACTCGCAATATTTATTTACGATTGGCTGTTTGATTTACTCTAATAAATTGGCGCAAGTTATGCATAGTTTGTAAT